CTATGACTTCTAAAGGGTGGATAAATGTACAGTGTTCAAACACTGTAGAATAAAAATATAGTAAATTCTTAATCTGCAGAATAAAATTATTAAAATTGAAATACAAATTTTTAAACAATTATTTAAACTTCTTATACCATCAAATCTTTTCCAGAAGTTTGTGAACTGTCAAATTATTGTTCCTAATAGGAGGTTTCTAAGCAGTCAAATAGTCCTTAGCAAGAATGTTAGTGGAAGAAAAAGTGGGGAGCTAAAGGACTGACAAATTCAATAGTCAGAGTTGGCTTCATAAAATCACCTCCAGTTCTTAAAGGATGGCTGCTCAGCCCGCATAAAAATCATGCTCTCAGTGATTCTAGAAGTGTTCAGTACTCATCACTGAGAAACACAATGCTTTCTAGTTGCAGGTAATTATATTTACTTCTCTATTTCATACTGTTTTTTCAAATGGTAGTTGTGACCATTACTGGGTTCCAACTATGAGTTATGAAATCAATTTAGTGGGTCACAACTGACCAGTATGCACTTCATATGTATGTGTGTGCATACACACACACACACACTTATATGTGCTGATACACACATACACATAGATAATTTGCTTGTTAAACTTTTGTCAGTTTTCTGTATGTTTATATACTGAGTCTTGAAATAAAGTATATCTCTTACTGGAGATGGCCCTTTAAAAAGTTTGAAAAGTAATGCTACATGATATATTTTTACATTAGGAACAACTGGTGAAGATGACAGTGCATTTTACGTACGATGGCCACAATCTGTATAACACCATCTTCTGCAGCAGCAGCCAGAAAACATGCAAAACAGCAACTCAATGTGATTGTTTTTCTTTGCTTTATTTTTTCCACCCTCTCATCAATCAGCTGGTTAAGCTGATCAAGAAACTGGAGGTAATAATTTTTATTTTTTATTTTTTTGTGAGGAAGATCAGCTCTGAGCTAACATCTGGCACCAATCCTCCTCTTTTTGCTGAGGAAGACTGGCCCTGGGCTAACATCCGTGCCCATCTTCCTCTACTTTATAGGGGATGCCACCACAGCATGGCTTGACAAGTGGGGCGTCAGTGCGCGCCCGGGATCTGAACCCTGGGCCGCCACAGTGGAGCGTGCGCACTTAACTGCTACGCCACCAGGCTGGCCCGCAGCTAATAATTTTTAAATCAATGAATATAAACTACTTGATCCAATTTTTCATTTGCTCTATCCTGGCCTGGTAAATATCATAATCACACTGAAAGCCTTATAAACAGTAGGCTGACTTGCAAAATCACCTTGGTTGATTTCCACCCCTTTTATTATTTCCACCCCTTTTCCCTTGTCCCATTCCCTTCCCTTTAAAAATCTGGCTTGCTCTACAAGAATATGGACGGGAATTGTCAAACCTAAACATTGGGCACATTTCTCCCAGGAACCTAAATACCTTGCTCACGTAAGAGGCTGATCGTGGGTCTTCCAGCTGAGCGTGAGTGAACATTTCTGTTTAACAACAAAAAAATTTCTTTTAAGTACTTACTCTGAAAGTACTATTTTAGTTCTAGTAAAGTAATTCAGAGAAAAATAAATGTAGAGCTCCATTTCAGGAGAATCGTTATTTAATTTGCTCTACAGCTATTAACATAGAAAGAAGATTAATTAACCTACAAAGGCAAATTGAGTCTTTTGGCTAACTGGATCTGTCTGATTAGGACTTGTCTTTGCTCCTCCTTTTGTTCATCAGTGCCAGCAAATCGGGGGGAGAAATCTAGTCCAACCTGTAACAGAAAAATAAACCAGAAGTACATGTTTATGGTTTAATGAACCCCAAAAGATGTACTATGGAGTTGTACTGTCCAATAAAAATATAATGGGAACCATACATGCAAGCCACATATATAACTTTACATTTTCTAGTAGCCACATTAAAAACACTAACAATAAACAGGTGAAATTAATTTTAATAATATACTTTATTTTGATCCTATATATTCAAAATATTATTATTATATACTAATATTATTCTTTCAACACATAATCAATATAAAAAATTGAGTTCTTTTACATTCTTTTTTGGGGGTACTAAGACTTTGAAATCCTCTGTGTGTTTTATACTCATAACACCTCTCAATCTAGATCAGTCACATTTCAAGCGCTCAACAGCTGCATGTGGTCACCAACTGGACAGTGACGATTACAGATGACTGCTTCCCTTGATAGTATTTCGGCACGCATTGCTATAAGCCATATTCTGAATTTAAGTGTTAGTCTTATCTTTCATCTTCAATTAGAAGTGGACTTTATTACCAAGTGATAAAAATTTTTTACAAATACAATTTAAGTTAAAAATGTTATTTAATTACAAATTTTTGGCCTATTTAAAGTATGTTTGTATTTTAATTAACCAGAAAGATGACTCATTATTTAAGCAAAAGCAAAAACACAACAGCAAGGCATATAGAAATTCTTTTTTTTTTTTTTTTTTTAAAGATTTTATTTATTTTATTTTTTCCCCCCAAAGCCCCAGTAGATAGTTGCATGTCATAGCTGCACATCCTTCTAGTTGCTGTATGTGGGACGCGGCCTCAGCATGGCCGGAGAAGTGGTGCGTTGGTGCACGCCCGGGATCCGAACCCCGGCCGCCAGCAGCGGAGTGCATGCACTTAACCGCTAAGCCACGGGGCCGGCCCTAGAAATTCTATTAAAGTAGTTTTCTCCCATTAACACAAGCCTATAATGGGGTTTTTCTACTGTTTCATCCCTAAGCTCTTTTGCTTACTGAGGAAGTATCAACAAACTATTTAGCTAAACAAGGTGAACATAATTATCCAAGTTAGTTACTATCAACACTGAATTAAGGATTATTTTCATATATCATATGAAAGTCTGCATTAGAAGTCATTTGATCAGCTAACACGTGTTTACCTCTCCAATTGCCAACAATCGATCCTGATAATTCTCAATGATGGGCAAAGCTACATCCAAATCCTGGGAGAAAAAAAAGTAAATTTGTTAAAATGGAAGGAGAAGGAAACTGATACTTTATAAACACTTATTATATGCCAGGCACTATGCTATACTAGGTCCTTTACATAGATTCAATACCTTTACCTCAGTTAAGGAACTAGGAATAGTAATCCTTCTACAATGGAAACTTGAGTAGAAAAATACCACACCCATCCGAGTTACAAGAATATGACTTTTTAGGAAGATTCCCACTTAAACACTTCTTTCTGTTTAGGAGGCACTTCCTGGCATTTAGGAGGACTGATTTAGATTTCCTGGAATTGCTGAGCAAGAAAAGAAAGCCACTGAGTGGTTACTTTTGTGAGTGAGTTTTTGGGAGTGCAGTTATATTCTCCTCTTAGGGTAATTATGGTTTGTGAGTTTATAATAGTGATAATCCCATACGTCCTTTGCACTATTTTCATTCATTTCTTTTGTTTTTATAGTCCTGCTTGGCCTATTTTGTCCTAAAGGTCCAACAATACAAACATTAAATATCACATATATGCTTGTGTGTTAACTATCGAAGTAACTGTGTACCACTAGTTTCCGTGATGCTACAATTCCCACTTAAAGAGAATTCACCCTTTGAGGGTTCCCTTGTTAGGCAAGGAAAAGACAAATACACGAAAAAATTCCTGTTTTTCCACTATGCTATTCAAAAGCCCAGGCTGCTGAAAGAAAGGAGAGAGAAGGAAAGGAAGGAGGAAGAAAGGGAAGGAAGGAAGGAAGGCAAAAGGGAGGAAGGAGAGATTTATTCTGAAGGATTTTAAATAATTACAACAGATTTTTTACTCAAGAAAACATTTAGTCTTCAGAACCTTTCGAACAGGGGTCAGGCTGTAACAGAAATGAGTCAAGTGGCCCAAGTAGGGACAGGAGCCAACTGGAGAGCACATGCCCTCCCTGCAGGGGGGCAGCAGACTGTGGCCAGAGAAACTGGTTTCCCGCAGCATCCCCAGGGCCTAAACTGTGCCTGGCAATAATACTTATTGAATGAACTAATTCAGGAATATGCTGAAAGATTTGTGTGATGATAGGCAATTTTCATTTTATAAACCAAGTTAATTTAACAAATGCTTACTACATACCTAGCTTTATACCACTTATTAGGGGCTTATAACAAATATGGGAAAACTACACTATGGTATGGACTACTAGCGCACTAGGAATAAAATAGGAAAAACTGCTTATCTCGGGCCTTTTCCAGAGGGCTATCCTGAGAATCGATGAGTTCATATCTGCTTTGAGAATCTAGAATTACTTATATATTGTTGGTATTTTAATTATTTTTTAAGTTAAACAGCCGTATCAGTTCCATATTCATCCCCCAAATATGCCAAATCCACTCACTTCTCTTCACCTCCACTGCTACCACTCCTGTCCAATCCACCATCGCTTCTCGTATGGACTCTTCCAATAGCCTTCTAACTATTCTCTCTTCTTCCATTTCCACCCTCTTCAAAATTCACTCTTCACACCATAGCCAAGGGGATTTTGAAACTAAATCACATTTGTCACTCCTCGCTTTATTCCCGACTGACGTAAACTAAAATCCAACAGGCCCTGGATGGGGTGATGCCTGCCCGATCCCTCTGACCTCACCACTGTTACTTCCCCTTCCCTCTAGTCCCATCAGCCTTCTTTCTATCTCTTGACCACGGCAAGCCTGTTCCCACAGTAGGACGTTTGTGTTTAGTTCTTTCCTTTGTCTATAACACTCTGACCTCTCTTTTTGCATGGCCGATTCCTTTGTAGTATTCGGGTTGCAGCTCACATGTCACCGCCTCAGAGAGGCTTTCCTTGACTACACAATCTAAAAACCAGCACCCACAATCCTTATCACATAATCTTGTTTTATTGCCTTCAAAGCACTTAGTGCTCTCTAAATTTTTCCTGTTCCTGCATCTAATTATTGATGTCTGTCTGCCCCCATCTAGAATCCAGCTTCCATGACAGGGATCTTACTCTATGGTGCTTAGAGCACTGAGCTCTTTGGCATGCTGTAGGTGTTCAGTAAACACTCACTGACTGACTCATTAAACAAATACCTATTATAAAGCTCTACATAAATGAAGGAAATGCTCTTCTGCTATGATCCCCAACATTTTGGGAACTGTAACTCTGGCAATTTAGCTGATTTTATCACACTCAACAACTCATGAGAATGGGCCGGCCCCGTGGCGTAGTGGTTAAGTGTGCGCGCTCCGCTGCTGGCGGCCCGAGTTCGGATCCCAGGCACACACCGAGGCATCTCTTGTCAGGCTATGCTGTGGTGGCATCCCACATAAAAGCAGAAGAAGATGGGCACGGATGTTAGCTCAGGGCCAGTCTTCCTCAGCAAAAAGAGGAGGATTGGCATGGATGTTAGCTCAGGGCTGATCTTCCTCACAAAAAAAACCCCAAAAAACAAAAAAACACAACTCAGGAGAGCTACAGGAGAAGCATTTCTTTTTACCTTAAGTAATTTTGTTTCAAAATCAGCAATGTAGGAATACAGATTCATTAGAATAAAAAATGATAGCCCTCATATCTTAATTTTTTTTATAGGTACCAACAAGTCTTCACGTCATCAAAATAGGGCTATCAATCCCATGATGTAATAAAGTACCTCCCTAATGCTGAGTCAGGGAACAAGTCTGAAATGTAAGACATATTGACTATTGTGAGTCAGTGAGATCTTGCCGATAGGATTTTTTTAGAGAGAGTATAAAAGCATTGCAGTTTATATATATTTTTTTTAATTTTATTTATTTGTTTTTTTCCCCCAAAGCCCCAGTAGATAGTTGTATGTCATAGCTGCACATCCTTCTAGTTGCTGTATGTCGGACACGGCCTCAGCATGGCCGGAGAAGCGGTGCGTCGGTGCGTGCCCGGGATCCGAACCCGGGCCGCCAGCAGCGGAGCGCGCGCACTTAACCACTAAGCCACGGGGTCGGCCCCAAGCAATGCAGTTTAACAGATTGAGAGCACTCCTAGAGTGATGGTTCTATGTTCAAAGAAGATACTGTGTACTTGAACTCATCTGTTCCTTTATAGCACTGCACCAATGAATCTGTATCTTTCTTTTTCTGGATATTTCATCCCTTTTTATCAAAGTAATGTGACAACATGATAAAAAATGGGAAAACAAGTCACCTATAATCCTACCAGACCATCACAGCTACGATCATTTCTGTGTTTTTCTCTCCAGTCTTTTCTGTACAGAATATATTTTTATATGGATGTCACTCACAGTGAATAGATCATTTGGTATTCCGCTTTTTTCCCTACATTATGTTGTAAACATTTTCCAAGTTGCTACATAAACCTTATAATCCTCATTTTCTAGAAATGCATTATTTTTAACACTCTACAAGTTAACTAATTATTCCTTTATTTCTGAACCTCTAAGCTGTTTCCACTTTTTCTCTATTACAAATAATTCTTAACAAACATCTTTGTGAAAGAAGATAGAGTTTCCTTCTTTTGGATTATTTCCTCAGAATATAAATCAGAAAGAGTAGGATTACTGAGTCAAAAGGTATTATCTTTTTTAATGGTTCTTGTTTTATATGCCTGTTACCTTTAATGTGACACTTCTTTGGTCTTCTGGTGAAAGTCCTTGAACTGGGTGAACACCTAAGCATGGCAGGACAAACCCATTATACCTGAAAATGTAGAATGAATTAAGAAAGCAGGAATACTAGACAAGTAGACTACAATGTTACTCTAAAGAACAAGTAGAAAAGAATTTCTTTTTAGGGCCACATTAATATGATTTTTCCTTTTCATTGTCTTTAAAAATGGATGATCTTTCATACTATAAATATGACATCATAACTATGTCCTTACTGGCAACTCTTTAAATTCCTAACAAGTTAATACCTTTCTGAAAGTTGCATAATCTTTTCAAATTCTCCTGAATGTTCAGCAACCACCACAAGGGCCATAACATTGGCCTGAAACAAAAAAGAACAGAGTAGTTAGAGTCTCAAACTATACATATATCTAACATAATTAAATAAAATTGTAAAGTTTTCTGTGCTTTTAGTTATCCTTGCTCATCCACGCACGGATACCGCTGAGTACTTACCATCTTTCAGGCACTATGTTCAGTGAATATAAATATTACCACATTTAATCTACACAACCCTATGAGGTAGGCATTGCTGTAGCCCATTGTCTAGATCAGGAGACAGAGTTTTGGATGGAATCAAATAACTTGCCCAAGATCACTAGGCCTGCGTATCTCCAATGCCCACACTCCGAATTAAGCTGCTACAGTGAAAGACAGCTATATATAAAAATATCCTGGCAACCATTTCTGACTATCACCATGGGAAGACCACAAAACACTAGTTATAACAAATTTCATAAACACTTCCAAAAATTAATAACTTTTTCCCAAATAAATCAAAATATTCCAGAAAACTTTTATTATTTATCCAAGATCTTCAGAACTGACAGATGGATCAATCTGTTCCATATTGCTGGTAAGCATCGTGGCTGCAGGAACATATTTTGGATTCAGACTGTGTTGTCTCTACCATTTTACTAGCAGTGTCTCTTTGGATTACTTAGTAATCTCTAGGCCTTAGTTTCCTCATCTATAAAATGGGGGATGGTTAGCTATAAAATAGTGGCTCCCCCAGAAGCTTGTTGTTAAACATTAAATGAGATGAAGTACAGAAAGGTCTTAGCTCAGTGCCTGGCACATAGTAAATACTTAATAAATGCTACTTATTATTAACTTATTATTACTGAAGCAACATCAACACAGTATACCTGAATTTCAAGCTGTTTTAGCTTGAAATTAGTAGGAAAACCAAAAAAAAAAAGGGCTATTATAGATATTAACTTACTTTCTTGGCTTTTTCCAACACATCATCCAGATCCTAAAAGAAGCATAAGTAATCACAATTATTTGAGATGAATAAGTAACTGCTCTTTGGCTGTGTAATATCAATGCAGCTGAGGCACCATAAATGACAATGATAGCAAGGAACAGGCTGGTGGAAAGCGAAGAGCCTACACTGACCCACCTTCTGTTTATTCTTTCTTTCTCTCAGTAAAATCTGGCTCCTGTTCTCACTCCACTAAAACACAAACTGCTGTTGTCAAATATAAAGGCCACTTCTCTGTCATCCTCGTACGCTGCCCCTCAGCAGCATGAAGAGCTCCTCATGGGTCCACTCCTTGCCCCTGGAATATTTTCCACTCTCAGCTTCGGCAACACCACTCTCTTACTGGCTGCTACTTTTCAGTCTCCTTAACTGGCTCTCTTTCCTCTATCTGATTTCTGGACCCCATGCGCCTCTCTCTGTACTCACCTTAAGTGATCACATCCACAGGTTTAAATATCATCATTACGTTACTGAGTTATCTCCAGCCTACAATTCTCTCCTGAACTCAGAATTCACATTTTAAAACAATCATATGACATCTCTACTTGGATATTAGCCTGCGACATGTGCCAAACATAACTCTGTTTTCTCCTTAACAAACCCATTCCTTCTGTCTATTCTGGCCAACCTCAGTCTTCCCTCATCTCAGTAAACAGCACCACCATCCTCCAACAGCATCCTCAAGTCCTCTCTTTCCCTCCCTCTCCACATCAAATTCCTCAGCATGTACTATAGACTCTATCTCTAAAATATACCTTGACTCCATCTGCTTCTCTCAAACTCCCCTGCAACCACCATCATCTCTTGCCTACATACTGCAAAAGCCCCTCAACTGGTCTTCTAACTTCCACTCTTGCTCTCCTCTATCCATTTGCCACACAGCAGTGAAACAGTTTTTAAATGGATATCAGATCTTGTCACTCTCCTTTTTGTTAAAAAAAAGAACACTTTACTGGATCCGCGTTATCTTTCCTAATGAAATTCAAACTCCTTACTGACCTACCTCACCTATTTCCTGCCAAACTCTTCAGTCTTGATTCATGCCTCTCTCTTTCCAGCTCATCAGGCTCCATCCAGACTTTTGGTAGCATGAATGTGCCAAATTCCATCCTGTCTGGGGCCTGCGACCTGCCTGCTTTCCTCACCACCATACACCACCTCCTGGCTTGGCTGGCTCTTTGTCTTTCCAGCCCCAAATGAAGCATGGCCTCGTGAGAGGTTCCCCCCCTAAAACAGACCCCACTCTTCGTCCTCTAGTTTCCAATGTAGCGGGTGAAACATTTTGCAACTGTGATTGTGTGTGCTCTTTCTGTTTGCTTCTCTCCCCTCAGAACTGGAGCACGCGCCGCGTCGAAGCGAGCCCGTGTCGGGACAAGGACGGGACCTCCCCGCCCCCAAGGGCCCCGCGTCGCTCTCACATACGCGGTCAAAGTCTGGGGCGGAGAGGTGGCAGTGACAGTCCACCAGCCCTACGCACACCTCCCCCATCACCGCGCCGCTGCAGCCTGCTACAGGCCCGCGGAGCCTCAGCCGGAACGCGGCTGCTGCGGCGGGCCCAGTTTCCGGCCGGAAGCGGGTCCTTCCTTCAGTGGGAACGCGCACTTCCGCTCCCAGAGTCCCCGCCCACAGTTCAAACTGGCAAAATGGCGGGGGTTCCTGAGTCGGTGGTCCTTGCCCCTCCGCGGGACGTGGAGCGAATGGCCGGGACAGACGACCAGGCCTTGGTCCCCGCCGCTGCCCGAGAGGACTTCCGGGTGCACTGCACCTCGAAGCGGGCCGTGACGGAAGTGCTAGAACTGTGCGGCCACATCGTGCAAAAGCTCGGGGAGGCGCTGCCGGAGAAGATCCGAGAGCCCGCCCTGCGAGATGCGCAGTGGGTACGGGCCCTGTAGCCACCTCTTGTCTTATCACCCCCTTACCCCACACCCCGAGTCTCAGGGTGAGCCTACGCCAGGCCTCAGCAGCGTTAACGGTGCCCTCACGCCGCCGTAGCAGCAGCCTGGGGGATGAAATAGATGATAGTGTCCACTGGGTTACTTAGACTGGTGCTGTCCAGAAACCGGTGAAGTTAATTTTAATAATAAATTTTATTTAATCCCAGATATCACTTTAACATGTATTAATCTAAAGATGAATGAGATAGTTTACATTCTTTGTTCGTACTAAGCTTTCCAAATCTCGTGTTTTAAATTTACAGTACATCTCTTTTGCCACTAGCCACATTTTAGGTCCTCAGTAGCCATAACGTGGCTAGTGGTTCCCTTCTTGGACGGTGCAGACATAGATTCTATGAGGAATTCTCCAGGAAAAGGTAATTCTGGAAGTCAGTCACCAGGCTAGCTTTTGGCCTTTCCTTTTGCCTGTTGTAAAACATCTTGTAAAGAGGGTGAATATGTTTTCCCTACGAAGGTAAAATAGATAAGGAAGCTGTCTTGAGTATAAACTTCGCTATCTAAGATCAAACACTGGCTTTTATAATACGTTTCCCTTTCCTTTCTTAGATATTTTGCAAAGCCCTGAAGAAGATAGTTTTTGGGGGAAATACGCAACAAATTGAGGGGTTGGTGCCTGTCATAAATAAGCACACAGTCTATATGTAGAAAAAAAGTTTGCAGCTTATAATGCAGCACGCTTGTGTGAATGAGCACAGTGCAAACAATAAAAATAAAGGTTAAGTGGAAGAAGAATGAAGAAACACTACGTGAGTTGTGATTCTAGTTTTGTATACAGTGGCTCTTATGTCATTCCCTCTTAGCAAGCAAGGCAAGAGTAGAAACACACCTCAGGACATTTTTAGTAGTTTTTTGGGAGAAGACTGCTTTGTTGTGTAACGATCTTAGAATTTGCCCCATCTTTGGAAGTGCTAAGGAAATTAGAGCATTTAATTAACCGTACAGAAGAAGGCACTCAGCTTAATCTATTATACCTTATTTAATGGTCAATAAAGTGAATTAGAAGGTAAAGGTTTGAAGATTTTCACTACCAAGGGAATTCATTTGTGTTTTGTTTTAAATAAGGGAGCAGATAAAAGGCAGAGGTTTTAGTTTTGTTGACGTATCTATCTAAAACCACATAATGTAGTAGCAGATATTCTTTAAAAAATAGTATTGGTACATCTGTGCAATGAATATTATGAAAACAGTTTGTATTCTCAGATAATCCTTGGAAGTTCATACATAAAGTAAAGGTTTTACTTTATAAAATCTTAAAAGTGTAGACTATATACTGTAACTCAT